CTTTTCCAAAAATACAATCCCTGCCTCCCCTGCCTGCAGAACGACCTCAACGCACACCGTTTACCGTGACAATCCTCATGACGCCCCTTGTCCTTTATCCCCCCTCCCCCCCGCCCTCCAAAAGGGCCAAATCGCGCCAAGACGTCACCGTCGAGGGTGTGGGAGGTCACGGTACAATTTGTGCCAAGTTTTGAAAATGATCGTCAATTGTAACTGATGGGTTTTATTGAGCGTAGCCGGTTTTCGCTCCCACGCACGTGCACAAGATTGGTCGGTCGTCAGCCGGTCGATGGCGCATTGCTGAGACGGGGGGGGGGGGGGTGGTGGCAACAACGGTGACGGCAGTCGGCGTCAAACCGTCAAAAAGGAAATCCCGATAGGGCCGTCCAAAAACAAGGAAGAAAAATCGTGAACGCGCACGGATTCAGCAACGGTTCCTAACACGCGTTTTAACGAGCGATTTGGTAACGTGTCGGTAGGCTGCGATGAGACGCCGAGGGCTCCGGATGGCAGTTCTGCCAGGGAGGGCGCAGGCGACGGTTCGACCAGCGCGCAGCCGGGCGGCTCCCTAAGAGCAGCGCAGACTTCACACACCGGAAGTTTCCTTCGTGTAAGGATCAACACGGCAGGAGTTATCGTGACCCCACTGACAGGACTCAAACTCAGGTTGCCGAGTTCGTAGGGCACCGCCGGGACCAGCCACTACCGCGGCCCACTCGAACGCTGGCGTGTGATTTGTGCGAGCGATTTTTATTTTTTAAATAATCGATTCCTAGTCGCGCGGCGTTTGACGCTTGAGTCACGAGCGCGGTGACCGTTTTAATACGGGAAATATCTTTACACAAATATACGTACCAGGACACGCGCACACGCACGAAAAAAAAAGGAAATGGCCAAACATTATAAATCAAGCCCTTGGCTGTCCGAGACGCGTCTCCGGGTAAATAACCAAATTCTCCCGCCTAGGTGTGACGGCAAAGCGTGAATGCGAGCGCTGTCCTGTACACCGCTGGCCGTCGTGGACACGGCACGGCGCCAGGTCAGGACCAGGCGGTTAGAACCCCCCACCACGGCAAGCCGCCCTGGTTATCATCGCCGCGGTTGTTGTTGTTGTAACAACCGCTCGCACGCCGTCCCGTTCCTTCCATGGCGAACTTCGACGATCCCGCGGCGTCGCTCGTCGCGAGCGGTTTGCACAAATTCCAACGGGGGGGTGGGGGGGGGGAAATCCCACCCGCGGGATTGGGGCTGACGCGTTGCGATCGCCGCCGCCTACTGGCCAGAGTCGTGCCCAAATGCATTGCTACAGCTGCCACTCGGGAGAGGACTGGGGGAGAGGGGGGGGTGTGGAGGGCAGGGGGAAGTGTGGGGGGGGGTGCCCTTTCAATACAGGTAGTCCCCGACTTACAATGGTCCCCGACTTACGATATTTCGATCTTACGATGGCGATAGCGATATGACAAAATTGTAAAATATTTTTAATTTCGCGCGGCAGGCAAGCGCAGCAGCGTGCGAGGTACGATACTGCAACTTTATCATCGCCATCCTCCTCTTCCGACAACTAAGTTAACGTAGCCATCAACAACCTTAACATCGTTCAAGTATGCAGACGACGAACAGAATCTTGGTGAGTACAGTAGAATGTGATACGTTACGATACGTTCAATGCATGTATGATCCATAGCTTTATCGATTTAATTTTAAGGTTAACACGATACGATACATACGTTCAATGCATGTTAAAAGTTTTTTTTATAGCAGATAGGATTGTTTCCTGAAAAAAACTTTCTATGAAATTGCAGTTCATATGAGTAGGCTAAAAATGTACCTAGTTTTTTACTTAACATTTTACTGTGCAATACAGTATTGTAATTAATAAATACATACAGTATATAGTTTATACAGCACGGTACTGTAAATTGCTCTGTTTTGCTGAATTATCACCATTCTTTAAGACTCCTGGGTAGGCTAGGGCCATCTTCGACTTACGATATTTTTGACTTACGATGGGGTCGTCGTAACGCATCTCCATCGTAAGTCGAGGACTACCCTGTATTTTAAGATGCGACACAAGTCGCTGGTTGCGCGTCGAGCGGTCTGCAACGCCACCGCTGTCGACGACGAGGAGGAGGAGGGTGGTAGTGGTGGTGGCTGAGCTGCTGCTGCTGCAGCACGTGGCTGCCTGTCAATCTGCCCATTGCGTGGGGGTCTTCAAGTTGCCGGCAGTCGCTGGAGACGAGGACGGGGTGGCGGTGCAGAGTGTTTGTCACGACTTAGCGACTCCAGTCGGTCCCCCTGGCTGACGAGCGCTGTTACCCTGTTACACCTGCCGCATTCCTGCTGCTGCTGCTGCCGCTTCCGCCATTCTCGTTTCCTCCGCCAGGGTTGTAAACGTCTCTCGGCGAGCCCCCGTCGTGTGTCGGTGGCGGAGACGCCATCGGCCACCGCCACCACCCCCTCTACCTCCTCCACCACCTCCTTGTTGAACGTCCGTCGGCGTCGGTCGCTGTCGGGCTTTGCCGACGCGTCGAGTGTGCGATCTGGCGTACGCACAACGCGGTGGAAGCCGGACAGGGGGATGGAGCTGCTGCTGGCGCTGCTGCTGGTACTGGACTGGTGATCCAGAGGTCGCCGGTTTGACCCCCCCCGCCCATCATCCGGCGCGGCAGTTGAAACGATGGGGCAAGTCTCTTAAGTCCAACAGCAGCAGCAGCAACGGACGGCAGCCGGCGTTCACCGCTGAGTGGCGGTGACATCAACCACGGCGCTTGTGCCAGGCTAGGTGCGGTTTGAGGTCACGTGACGTGTCGAAGGCCCGCCGGCAGGAGGTCACGGAACAGACCCAGGTGCCGTGATACACCCCCCCCCCTTCACTCTGCTGCCCTCTATCCACCCAACAGCCACATGAATGTGTTGGGCACCACAGCTGGTCAAGTGTGGTGGGGTAAAGTGTGGGTACACTCCTTTTTCTGTGACCACCCCACCACCCATGACCGACATGGTTATGGGGGGGGGGGGGGGAGGCCTTCATCCAGCAGTGGATTCGCAGCGTGTGTGTAAATAACGATAATTATTTTTAGTAAGCGAAGTGCTTTTAGGCGCGGCAGGGTGGCTACGGGGTGGAAAGGGGGGGGGGGTCTGGCTCACGGCTTCCTGTTTGTTACACACAGAGAAGCTTTTGTTGACGTTTTGCTAATGGCGAGTGGCGGGGGCCCGTGGAATGTAAATTAAAGTCATATTTTGAATTCTCAGAGTCCCGAGCAATTAAGCGGAGCTTCCAGCGTACTCTGACAACCTTGTTTATACTCAACCCGCCCTGGGGGGGGGGAGGCAAGATTACCCTCTTAATTTATCCCGGTGTTTCTGTGGTAGACTGGAGTAGGTGGCACGTGACCAGTGCCGCTGGCCGCAGCCGCCACGGGCGAGAGAAGAGCGGTATACTGGATGTGGTGTGCTGGGCTCGGAAATAATTTGCGGGTCGCCGAACCGAACGCACCCGTCCGAAAAGTATAAGCCGCTGCATGCGAGCCGTGACCCCCCCACCGAAGATTTAATCTTGAATTTAAAAAAACAAATTTTTGCTGCTGTTGTTACGTTGTGACGAGCTTCCTTTCCACGCCGTTCCCAAACAACACGACGGGCCTCGTGCGCCCATCACCGGTGTCACGTCGTCGGACGACGGGGGGGGGGGGGGATCGTCGTAACCCCCCCCCCCTCCCACCCCCCGTCGTGTGAACCCTTGCAGAAAAGCATCGCCCCCTCCCGGTGTTGGGGGTGCGATCGGTTGGAAGCAGATTTCGCAGAACTATTTCCTGACATCCCCCCCCCCCCCCTCCTCAAGTGACCTCCCTGGGGGGGGGGGGGGGCTCCGCGCGCGCTCTTCAACCGAGGCCCCGCTTTTTAAGAGGCGGTCGCGCTGCCAAGTCCACCTTTGAGCCGCTTGCTTCTTCTCAAGAGCCGGAGGGGAGATGTCGCGAAGGCGAAGTGCGTTTCGCGCGGAAAGTAAAACAAACAAAAAAATCGCCCATTGCCGGCGCGTCAATTCCGCAGCCACGGAACGGACTGAGAGCGCGCAGCGGTGCACGTTTGGACAAGGCAACGAGAGGGAGCGAGCGAGGGAGCGAGCGGGGGGGGGGTGGGTGGTTGCAGGCCATTCGTCCGTCCCCCTCCGTCGGTTCGTCGCGACGATCTGACGGCGCACCGCGGACACGCTTGTGGCGGCGAAACCGGAATCGCTCGTCGGAACGGGATCGTGAGAAAGGGGCGAATGCGCCGTGTGTCCGCTCTTGCTTCGGAGGTCACCGTGTGCATGCGTTTACACCTGTGTGTGTGTGAGTGTGTATGTGTGTGTGTGTACGTGTGTGTATATATGGGGAGCGGTAGCGTAGCGGTTAGCGCGCTGCGCTATGAACCTGGCGACCCGGGTTCGATTCCCGCTCACGGCCAACACCAGTGACGATTATCTGAACCGGTCCCGGGCCTCCCCTAGGTCGACTCGGCCTCAAATGAGTACCTGGTGCGGTGTTTAAACATCGCGACTAGGGAGACAAAGGCGGTCGGGCGTGGTGCTGGCCACCTCCAACACACGGCCTCGTGTACCGTGCCGGTCTTCATAGGTGCTCGCTAACAGCACTTGCCCCTACAGTCTGTTAAGGCTGTATGGGGGATCTTTGTCTTTGTATGCGCGCGTTAACAGTACTTGCCCCCTAACAGTCTAATGATGTCTATACGGGGGGGGGGGGGGTCTTTGTCTTTGTGCACGTGGGGAGTGGTAGCGCAGCTGTTAGTGCGCTACGCTACGAACCCGGCGACCCGAGTCCCATTCACGTTCGTGGCCACCAACGCCAGTGACGATCGTCTGAACCGGTCCTGGGCCTCCCCTAGGTCGGCTGAGCCTTAAAAATCAGCATCTCGTGCGGTCTGTAAATATCGCCACTCGGGAGACAAAGGCGACCGGGCGTGTGGTGCCTTTGTCATGCGTGCGTCTTCCTCCGTGACAGGTGTTCAGTCGGGGAGGGAAGGCGCGGCTGAGCTTGGACGCAGCAGGATGCAAGCTGATCACGTCGCTGGAGGAGTACCAGGGCCTCCTGGATGGAACCCCGGAGAACAAAGGTCAGCGCGGGGACTCCCACGTGCATGTGTGTGCACGCGCGTGTGTGTGTGTGCACACGCGTGTGTGTGCGTAGTGCATCGGCCAGTCATCTCAGTCAGCCGACCCATGGCACCCCTGGGTCTGCCCCGTGACCTCCTGCGAGCGGGCGTTCGATGCCTCACGTGGCCTCGACGTGCACATAGCCTGGCACAAGCGACGTGGTGACGTTCATTCGCCACATAGTGGCGAATGGCGGTTGGCCCGAGTTCGATTCCCGCTCGCGGCCAATATCAGTGACTATTATTCGAAACGCTGCTGGGTCTCCCGTTAGGTCGACTCAGCCTGAAATGAGTACCTGGTGCATAGTAAACATCGCCACTGGGGAGACGAGGGTGTCCGGGCGTGGTGTGCCGTGTTGGCCTTTATAGCTGCTACTCGCTTAACAGCACTTGCCCCAACAGTCTGTTCGGGCTATGCGGGGTGATGTTTGTTTTTGTTGTGTGTGAGCACGTGTGGTTGTCTGTGTAACGTGCGCGTGTACATGTAGTGCGTGTACATGTGGCGCGTGTACATGTGGCGCGTGTACATGTGGCGCGTGTACATGTGGCGCGTGTACATGTGGCGCGTGTACATGTGGCGCGTGTACATGTAGCGCGTGGCTTGTACATGAAGGCGCGCGGAACGGCCTCGTGTGCAATATGCGTGTACCGTGTTCCACATGTGTAACGAACTCGCAGAGCTACGGCATCGATCATTCTCCTGACGAGACTCGATCACCGGCTCTCAAGTTGCCCTCCCGAGAGAGGCGGGGGGGGGGGCACCTCTTATTCCAGTGTCACCCCGTGGCACTTGACCCCAATAGCTGAAACTGAGATTGTGGCTGTGGAGTGTGCGTCACTGTATGACTGTGCGCGCGCATCCATGTGTGTGTGCGTGCATCCATGTGTGTGTGTGTGTGCGTGCATCCGTGTGTGTGTGTGTGTGCGTGCATCCGTGTGTGTGTGTGTGCATCCGTGTGTGTGTGTGTGTGCATCCGTGTGTGTCTGCGCGCGTGCATCCGTGTGTGTGTGTGCGCGCGCGTGCATCCGTGTGTCTGTGTGCGTGCATCCGTGTGTGTGTGTGTGTGCATCCGTGTGTGTGTGTGTGTGCATCCGTGTGTGTCTGCGCGCGTGCATCCGTGTGTGTGTGTGCGCGCGCGTGCATCCGTGTGTCTGTGTGCGTGCATCCGTGTGTGTGTGTGTGCGCGTGCATCCGTGTGTGTGTGTGCGTGCATCCGTGTGTCTGTGTGCGTGCATCCGTGTGTCTGTGTGCGTGCATCCGTGTGTGTGTGTGCGTGTATCCGTGTGTGTGTGTGTGTGCGTGTATCCGTGTGTGTGTGTGTGTGCGTGTATCCGTGTGTGTGTGTGTGCGCGTGCATCCGTGTGTGTGTGTGCGTGTGCGCGCGTGCATCCGTGTGTGTGTGCGTGTGCATCCGTGTGTGTGTGCGTGTGTGCGCGTGCATCCGTGTGTCTGTGTGCGTGTATCCGTGTGTGTGTGTGTGCGCGTGCATCCGTGTGTGTGTGCCTGTGTGCGCGTGCATCCGTGTGTCTGTGTGCGTGCGTGCAGCGGTTAGGACGCCATACTACGATCCCGGCGACCCGAGTTTGAATCCCCGCTCGTAAGTGCTGGGCCTCCTCCCCTAGGTCAACTCGGCGTCCAATGATTAGCTGGTGCTGTGCGTAAACATCGCCACTGGGGAGACAAAGGCGGCCGGGCGTGGTGCTGGCCACCCACCCGCCCTCGTGTGCCGTGCCGGCCTTCATAGGGTGCTCGCTTAACAGCACTTGCACCAACAGTCTGTGTGGCTATGTTGGGGGGAGGGGTGGGGGGGGATTGTATGTCTGTGTTATTGTGTGAATGCCTGTACATGTTGAAGTGGTGGCATGGGCAGCTTGGCTCGTAGTGGAAGGCGGGGTGGGTGTAGGGTTGTAGGGTGGCAGGGTTGGGGCGGGCAGGCGGTTAGAACGCTGTCGGGGCGGCCGTCGTGTAAATTCTTAATCGGGTTCGTTGCAGCAGCACAAAAGGTCGTTGTTGTTACGCAGCACGATCTGGGAGAGACGGGGAGGAGGGACACGGGGAGGAGGGACACGGGGAGGAGGGACACGGGGAGGAGGGACACGGGGAGAGGGACACGGGGAGAGGGACACGGGGAGAGGGACACGGGGAGAGGGACACAGGGGTGTGCCGGGGCTAGATTTTCACCTACGGCTACGATGGGGAAATTTTCCACTTTGAGATGAAAGAATATTTTAATATATATGAAAATATGGGTTGGTTTTCGCAGGTGCACCGCTACACGGTCCTCCGAGTAGGTTTTTGGAGTCGTGCGTCGAAACGTCGGACGTCACGCCGCGTGGGCTTGTACGTACGTCTACAAAGACAAATATCCCACTCCCCGTGTAGCCTTAACAGACTGTTGGGGAAAGTGCTGTTAGCGGTGCACGAGAGGGGTGGGTGGCCAGCACCCCTACCCCCCCCCCTTCCTCCCCCGGCCGCCTTTGTCTCCCCAGTGGCGATCGTGCTACTCCGCCGCCGGGCCCCAAAGCCGCGAGACTAACCTTCGACGTCTCCTGACCTTTGACCTCTCCCGTGCCCGCCCGCTCGTTTCCAGGCAAGCCGTGGCTCTCCTGCCCCACGCCTCACCCCATCATCCTGCGCCACCCCTACGAGAGGGACCAGCTGTTCGCCGCCGGCAAGGCCGACGCCCAGCGCCAGTGGAGTGCCGTGCTGGCCAGCTGCCTGCGTCACCGCAACAACGGTGAGGGCGCGGGGCCCTCCAGGGCTCGGGGGCCTCCAGGGCTCGGGGGGCCTCCAGGGCTCGGGGGGCCTCCAGGGCGCGGGGGCCTCCAGGGCGCGGGGGCCGCCAGGGCGCGGGGGCCTCCAGGGCTCGGGGGCCTCCAGGGCTCGGGGGCCGCCAGGGCTCGGGGGCCTCCAGGGCTCGGGGGCCTCCAGGGCGGCCTTCATAGGTGCTGCTCACTTAACAGCAGCACTTGCCCACCAACAGTCTGTTGAGGCTACACGGGGGTGGGACCTTTGTATTGTCACAGTCGCTGAAGATCATTCATCAGTCAGTCGGGTGTTTAATAACAATTGATTGTCTACCTGGTATGTCGAGAGATAGACGGTGATGACGATGCTGGTGGTGATGTATGGAGGAATATAAATGTTTGATGAGGGTGATGGTGAAGTGTTTATATCCCGTCGAAGATGGGGAGGTGGGGATGGCAGGGGCGTTGGTTCTTGGTTTTGTGTCCCCCGCTGTACGGCACCCTCTCCGACGTTTCCGCTGGGAGGTTTCCGAGTCCCGAAGTCGCCGAAGAAGATCCCGGCACGTGGGGGGTGGAACGTCGGGTGCCGTGCCCCCCAAACCGCACTGGGCGGAGAATCATTCCCCCCCCCCACCTCCCCCATTCGTTCATTGAGGTTGAGCAAAGCGTCCCGGATGTAGCGTCCGCCTGATAGAGGGACGGTTCAGAATCTTGTTGACCGGGTTGGCTACACAAAAGGGCATTATTAATCATCGGTGACCATGCTCTGTGTAAAAAAACATAATATGTGACCTTTCACAAGTTGAGCCGTGCGAATGCGACCGAGGGAAATGAAAAAGGGGCATTCACTGCTCACATTTTAACGGATTCCTGCCATACATTCCTGCGTCGCCGTTGTGCCCACCCCAGCTACTACCCAGCCAGCCGAGGCAAGCACCCGCTCGCCCATCCGCCCAGCAACGCACCCAGCAGACGTAGCCAGCTAGCGAGCCAGTCCCCCATACAACCGGCCGGTCGCCCACACGACCAGCCAGCCCCGCCCGTACAACCACCCACTCGCCCACCCACCCAGCAATACTTCCACCAACCCAGCCAGCCACCCACCCACCCACCAATCCTCAAGCTAACCCCACAATCGGTCCCCAATCCATCGACCCAGCCAGCTAGCCAAGCCACCCCATAGTTGCCATACAACCCCCCCCTGTACCCCACGCCCTTTGTTCCCAGTACCACACAATGCACTGCGTTGTGTGGGGGGGGGCACCTGCGGTGGGCGGGGGTGGTGGTGGTGTCGCGGTAATTGGCGTGCGGCGAGTTCGTTTCGCTGAGAGAGAGGAGACCGATTTGTATTTTTGGAAAGTGTGGTTTTCGCCCGTGAATACTGCGGGTTTTACGCAACGTGGGAATAACGAAGACTAATCTCGTAACTACGCCGCCGAAGCAGCCGCAGCAGCCGTGCAGTGTGCTCCCTCTGCACGCGGAAGCATCTAGCGCTGAACCGGCAAAAAAACAATTGTGCCCCCGAGCTCACTGCGGCCATCTAACATACATGGGGGGAGGTGTTATCGGCCAAGTTAATGAGCGGCTTGCGTGTGTGTGGGGCGGGGGGGGGGGATAAACCGAATTGCCGGGAGGGGCTGGGGGGAGTTGGGGGAGCGCCGCGTCGCGTTTTCACCAGCAGAGGGCGGTGCAGCACCGACAAAAACTCCACCGTTGTCCGCCCTTGCCCCCCCCTGCGTCTACGCTCCCACGTCTCCTGCTGTCTGTCCGCCTACACCAAGCCGCAATGACCGGCCTAGCGAAGTATGGTCCAATGAACCGGCACGGCGGCGTGTGTGCGTGTGTTTGTGTGAGCGGCGGCGTAGCGGTTAGTGCCACGCTGCGCTACGGGCCCGGTGACCCGAGCTGGGATCCTGCTCACGGTCACCCCCCCCCGCTGGACTCGGCCTTAAATGAGTATCTGGTGCGGTGTGTAGTAAACGTCGCCACCCGGGGAGACAAAGGCGGCCTGGCGTGGTGCTGGCCACCCCCCCCCCCCCCCCCCAGTGCCGTTCCGGCCTTCGTAGGTGCTCGCTTTACAGCACTTGCCCTAACAGTCTGTTAAGGCTACACGGGGGATCTTCTCTGTTTTGGGGGGGAGGAAAGGGGGAAGGCCCCCTCATCCAGCAGTGGAATTGGCGAAGGCCGTACGTGTGGCGAGCGTCTTGAGCGGCGTTTGGTGTCGCGCGGTCCACCACGTGGCTTACAGAGCGTCGGGGAGCCATGTTGACACACGCCAAGGGGCAGAATTCACCGTTTGCCAATCGGCAGATGCGAGCGGTGCGTCGCGACTTCAAATAGCCGAGCGGCGGTGGTGGTGGTGGCTACGAAATACTACCACGATACAAATGATCGTTTTCATCGATTTACGTTTGGTGCGCCCTTCGTGTGGTTGCATTTCTGAACGGACACAAAATAAATAAATCGACCCACACCCAGGATTTGAACCCTCGACCTTGCGGGATGTGCAGCTGTAGCCACCGCAAATGATGTCACGGTGGGAAGGAGGAGGGGGGGGGGGGTGCTGGCAATGCTGTGAGCCGTGAAATTTGTTGACCTCAAACTTTCGGTTACTGCAGGAATTCATTTTCTTGGTTCTTTTGGTAAAGTCATGTTTCAATAAAAACAAAAATGATCAAATTGAATACAAATAATAATAAAAACATTTTTTTAAATAATAAAAGCAAAACACCCACAACGTTTCCGTCGCAACACAAGCGGTCTTCATCAGGCGGAGAGAAAAGAGGGGGCAAGCCTCCAAATGTATAAATCGTTTTCTCATTCCCGGCGTGGCTTTGCGCTGTGCCGTTCCTGATGGCCTCTCGCGGGAGGAGCTCCCCTCCGGGCGTCGTTTTGCCGGTCTTTGCCTCGCACGGTCGGCTACGTACGGCGCGAAAGAAGTTCAACGTACGTATGTCCGACGTTTGGCGCCACGTGCCGTGGCCAGGGGGAGGAGGGGGGAGGGGAGCTTTTGCGGGAGACCAATTCTGATCCAGGAGAACCTGAAAACACACGGTTCGGAGCACCGCGGGTACGCAGGACGTGGGTTCAATCGCGAACCCTGACGATGCCTGTTGTGTTACGTATGTTTGATCTGCTTTCGCGCACCGTACGTAGCCAACCGCGCAACAAGACTCGCCCTGCCTTGCGATGACGTCATCAGCCACTGCGGAAATGAGCAATCGTCACGCTTGGGTGGCCGGGTCGCCGACTCCGAATAAGATCTCATCGCTCGGTGGGCTTTACATGGTAAGATGAAATGTTCATTTTTGTGTGTGCTTCTCTCTTGCTCTCTCTCTCCGTTCTGTGCAGGCCTCTCCGAGCCAGACTCGGTGGAGACCCAGACCTTCTCGGAGGCCGTGCGTCTCTACCGGCAGGACAAGGGCCACTTCTCCACCTGGGATATGTTTTGTGGTAACGAGACGCAGGTAAATGGACGGTCGTCGTCATCATTATCATCATCGTCGTCGTTGTCATCATTGCAGTTATCATTGCCGCCGTTATCATCGTCGTCATGATCATCGTCATCGTTGGCCGTGATCAAACCGCTGCGGGCGGAGGCCTCCCCACAATCCGTAGCCAAGCCAAGTATTATTTTTGTTCAGCCACGTGAGATTCCAGGAGGGCAGGGTGAGCCTTATATGTAAGTGAATGGGTGAGTAAGTGGTCATGATGAGAACGGTTGGTTTATTTTGTTCAGCCAAAACGAGAGACTCTAGAGACGAGGATGAGTGCTGACGATGCTGGAAGTGGTTGTTGGTTAAGTTTTTACTTTTGTTTTAACCAGGTTAGAACTCGGGGGGGGGGGGGGAGGTGGGGGGAGGGAGGTGGGGGAGGGAGTGTGTTACGATTCTCGTTTTGTAACGAGTGTGACCCCGGGTCCCGTGTTGAGACGGTGCCACGGCGGGAGGTCATGCCACAATTTTGGTCAACGTTGAGACCGTTATAGAGTGGTGTTTCTTATCTCATTGAATATTTTCATATTTTTATATATTTCATTTAAAGACTGAGAACAACAGACCACTTTACCTGACATGGTACGCGTGCGGATTGGACAGTCATGAAGTGTGTCAAGGCCTCTGGTGCAGGGAAGCCTCGAAGAGGATTGGCTAAGGACAGAGAATTGAAATTATTTGGGGGAGAGAAATTCAAACGTAAAAGGATAGGGGAACGGATGGTGGGCTCGGAGGGGAATGGTTGGTGGGCTCGTAGGGGAACGGAAGGTGGGCTCGGAGGGGAACGGATGAGGATTGGTTGAAGGAGAGAGAGGTCTCGAGAACCTTCCAGGAAAAGGAGGGGGATATAAAGGGTTGAACAGCAACAAGGGGAAGGGGACGGTTATGGAGAAGTCGAAATTGAAACCAGAAGAACCGAAGTGTCCGGGCCTCGGGATAGCGTTGGTGTCCACAATAAATGCGCTTGGTCAAGCAAGGGGGGGCGGGGGGGGGGGTGTTGGCATCGTTACACTTGTGCATAGAGAGAGCCCTTCACTCAAGGCTCTTGCTGTAGTTTAAAAAAGAACGGCGACAGAATAGAATGGGGCGCCGCCGCGGTGGCGAGATGTTAACTCCCCTCGCCTGGTATGCAGGAGGTCGTGGGTTCGATCCCTGACCCATGCTGTATATTTGGAGTTTGTACGTCTCTCTCTCCGCGGTGTGACAATGCGTTTTAATCGTGTTCCATGATGCTGTGCTCGGAGCATTCCTATGACTAAACCACTGTTTGTGTGTTCTACTTATTTTTATTACCGCTAAAATCCGCCCGTCCTTAAGCGCTGCAACAACAGCAGCAGCATAGAGATGTGGAAAATATGCGAGTCCGTCACAATAAAGAGATTCTTTCGGAAAGGGGAAAATGTAATGAGAAGAGACGTTTGAGAGAGGATTTGGTGACATTTCGCGATCGGGCAGGCATGGTGGTGGGGGGGGGGGGCGATTTACGCCTCCATCGGAAAGTTCTATTGTGCCTTTGTCTCCACCTCTTCTCAAAAATGATGGCGGCGGCGGCGGTCGTGATGGCGGGTCGTTATTCGCCTGCGTTATCGGGACGTACAATTCCGCCTTTGACGAAGAAGAGGGGGCAGCGGTTTGTCTTGAACTAGTGCAGGATTTTCCAAGAATTCGCACCGACTGCCAAAACAGCCATCGGCCGTGTTGGTCATCCCCCCCCACCACAACCTCCACCACCACCTCCCACACTCCCATTTACCCACAACACACACGCTAGCAGTGTATTCACATTATGAAGGGGTTTTACTGGTAGGAACGAAGTTGTAAACTGAGTGTACCAGCCTGCAATAGATTAATGTGTCCGTCCGTCCGTCCCCCTTCAATACTTTAACGAAGTGAAATCTCGTGCTGTTGGGTGTAAAATCAGCAATAGACAGCGCAGAGACTTGATATGTCTTATTGCACCCAACATTTGGAAGTCACATTATCTCATTTGCGAACTTCTACCAGCCCACCCTGCAGGGACCTGTTTTTTAACACGCTTTTTATTAACTCGCTCTGTCTGTTGTTGTCGTATTCTCAAATCGTGTAACTCAATTTTAACCCACTTCCCAATGTGGTATCGACTACAAACTTGGTATACTTACGTCATACTGATGACAATACTATATTATATCATAAAAAATTAAAAATAAACATATATTTTAAAACATTATTTTTTATATGTTATGTTTCGGCTTGGCTCTAATTGTCCACGATAAACTGACGTTGGCTGTAAATCACCACGGCCCCTTACTTTGTGGCAAGCTTCGGGACCACTTCCTGGAGTCGTGGAGTTCTTCCATTGCTAGTACGGTACATTTCATTAAAGCGTGTTTTAAAAAACGTTTTTTTTTAAATATAACTTTTTTGTGTTGGATCGCGTAAATCTAAATGTGTTGTTAAACCCGCCAGCACCCGACACAGCCAAACTTGTAAAGGGTTTGCCACGTCAACAAAACGTGGCAATTAGTAACTACTTCAGCACACCGCTTGTGTGCTGGAGACTAAACCCACAACAATTTACACTTTGAGTTCCTTAACGTTTCGCTGGCGATGACGACAACAACAACCAGCTTCATCGGTCGACGAGCCAAAATTGTGACGAAGTTTTCCTGCTTCGCCAATCACCGTGAACCTATCGGGCGTTCGCCGAGAATATCGATGGTGGTGATTTATGATTTTCACGGTCCATTGTGTCGATGTTTTGGCCGGATGAAGGCCGCCTCCTCCCGCTCGTTGCCGTGCGCCCGACGTTGCATCCGACGTTGAGCCCAGCGACATTCCACGCTCACTGGGCCATGCGCCGTGCGATTCTTGGCCATCCAATTCATCTTCGTCGTTGTCTTCTTCTTCTTCTTTGCTGCGGGGGAGTCGGGGGGGAAGGGGGTGGGGGATGGGCGGGGGAGACGATCGGCGTCGGCGGATGATGAACCGCGAACGTTGCCCGTCGACAGATCCTGAGCAACCTGGTGATGGAGGAGCTGGTGACGGCCCTGCAGGCCGAAATCACTCCCAGGCTCAAAGGGCGACCGCAGGAGAAGCACAGAGCCTGGGCCATGGTGAGATGGAGCAACGCGCGCACACACACACACGTACACACACACACACGTACACACGCACACACGCGTATGCGCACACACACGCATACACACACGCGTACGTGCACACACATGCGTACACATACACACACACACGTGTACACATCCATACACATGTGTACACATCCATACACACACATGTGTACACATCCATACACACACATGTGTACACATCCATACACACACACGTACACACATCCTGCTGGTAACGCGTGGTAAACCTCCAGCGTGGGTTGTTCCTCCAATATCAATGTGTGACGATGCTTTCACGTTGCGTGTCGGCGGTGTTTTTTGTCGTCGCACCGACGTCCCCCCCCTCCCCAGCCGCCCCCCCCCCCCTCCACCGCACCCCAATTTTCCTCCTGCACGGTATGCACGCCGCAGCCTGCGCGCCGGGGCCCGAGGTCCAGACCCGCAGGATAGTCGGACGTGGCCCAGGGGCTCGGGGAAGCCCTTCATCCAGCAGTGGATCGGCCACGGCTGACGACGGCGGCGACGACGATGTTGAATCAAATTAAAACAACCCCCCGTGGACCAACCTTTGCCGCCACCGCAGATCTCCTCGGCGGTCTACCGCCTGGTGCAGGAGCAGACGAGCGAGGGCCACGCGGCCCTCCGCCAGGAGTGCCAGGAGCTGCGGCCGGCGCTCGAGTCCCTGATCCGGCCGGACCTCGACCAGATCGTCTCCTCCAAGGACCAGGTCGCCGGCAAGATGCGAGGTGACGACGCAGCTGCCGCCGTCACGGTCGCCGTGACAACGGGGACCCAACTCCCCCCGGGGTCTTAGGCCCGGCACCGTGGCACACGACGGGGTTGGGTGGCCATCGCCACGCCCGGCCGCCTCTGTCCCCCCCCTCCCCCCTCCCCCCTACCCCCGTGGCGACGGTTACTACACACCGCACCGGGTACTCGTTTGAGGCCGAGTTGACCTAGGGGGAGGCCCCAGGACCGGTGCAGATAATCGTCGCTGGCGTTGGCCGTGAGCGGGAATCGAACTCGTGACGCCGGGTTCGTGGTATGCACACAAAGACAAAGATCCCCCGTGTAGCCTTAACAGGCTGTTGGGGCAAGTGCTGTTAGCTCGTAGCAGCACCTACAAAGGCCGGCACGGCACACGAGGGGGTGGGTGGCCATCCTAGGGGGAGGCCCAGGACCGGTTCCGATAATCGTCACCGGTGTTGGTCGTGAGCGTGGTGGGGTCGGTCATCGAACAGGGGGGGGGACCCTACAATGTAGAACGACGCAATGCCCCGATCCACAAATACCAAAGGGACATCGCGGCGATGACGATGATGATGACGATCCACTCCTCCGCTTGCCCCTGGCGCGGTTATCTGGCTTGCCCGCCTGAACGTGAAGTTGTAGCCGCTGCTCCGCATCTACGTCAGTGGTACAGAAGAAGAAGGAGCGGGAGAGCTTTGTAGCGCGTTGCGCTAACCATCGCACCACCACTCCCCACGCACGAACGCTCGGAACGCACGCAGGCTTCCTGCAGCCCAAGGTGGACGCGTGCTGCCGGCAGCAAGTGCAGCCCGTGCTGGGCGGGGCGCTGGAGGCCCTCATGGCGTGCGTGAGCGACGGCTTCGGCGAGGGCCGCGAAGTGCTCACCCGCGAGGTGCAGCACCTCGTCAAGAACACGCAGAACGACGGTGGCGCCAAGCGCCTCGCAGAGGTGAGCGGGGTGGAGCGGGGGTCACCTGGGGGGTGGGGCACCTGGGGGGTGGGGCACCTGGGGGGTGGGGCACCTGGGGGGTGGGACACCTGGGGGGCCAGGCGGCTTTAGTAGCGGGCGGGGAGGCATCCTTCATTGGTCCTGACTAACAGAGCCAACGCAGAAGATCTTACTGTTTTGATCTCCCACTGTTTTTATCTCCCACTGTTTTGGTCTCCCACTGTTTTGATCTCCCACTGTTTTGGTCTCCCGCTGTTTTGATCTCCCACTGTTTTGGTCTCCCACTGTTTTGGTCTCCCACTGTTTTGATCTCCCACTGTTTTGATCTCCCACTGTTTTGATCTCCCACTGTTTTGGTCTCCCACTGTTTTGGTCTCCCACTGTTTTGGTCTCCCACTGTTTTGGTCTCCCACTGTTTTGGTCTCCCACTGTTTTGATCTCCCACTGTTTTGGTCTCCCACTGTTTTGGTCTCCCACTGTTTTGGTCTCCCACTGTTTTGGTCTCCCACTGTTTTGGTCTCCCACTGTTTTGATCTCCCACTGTTTTGGTCTCCCACTGTTTTGATCTCCCACTGTTTTGGTCTCCCACTGTTTTGATCTCCCACTGTTTTGATCTCCCACTGTTTTGATCTCCCACTGTTTTGGTCTCCCACTGTTTTGGTCTCCCACTGTTTTGGTCTCCCACTGTTTTGATCTCCCACTGTTTTGGTCTCCCACTGTTTTGGTCTCCCACTGTTTTGATCTCCCACTGTTTTGGTCTCCCACTGTTTTGATCTCCCACTGTTTTGATCTCCCGCTGTTTTGATCTCCCGCTGTTTTGATCTCCCGCTGTTTTGGTCTCCCACTGTTTTGGTCTCCCACTGTTTTGGTCTCCCACTGTTTTGGTCTCCCACTGTTTTGGTCTCCCACTGTTTTGATCTCCCACTGTTTTGGTCTCCCACTGTTTTGATCTCCCACTGTTTTGGTCTCCCACTGTTTTGATCTCCCACTGTTTGATCTCCCACTGTTTTGATCTCCCACTGTTTTGATCTCCCGCTGTTTTGATCTCCCGCTGTTTTGGTCTCCCACTGTTTTGGTCTCCCACTGTTTTGGTCTCCCGCTGTTTTGGTCTCCCGCTGTTTTGGTCTCCCGCTGTTTTGGTCTCCCACTGTTTTGATCTCCCACTGTTTTGATCTCCCACTGTTTTGATCTCCCACTGTTTTGATCTCCCACTGTTTTGATCTCCCACTGTTTTGATCTCCCACTGTTTTGGTCTCCCACTGTTTTGGTCTCCCACTGTTTTGATCTCCCACTGTTTTGATCTCCCACTGTTTTGGTCTCCCACTGTTTTGATCTCCCACTGTTTTGATCTCCCACTGTTTTGATCTCCCACTGTTTTGATCTCCCACTGTTTTGATCTCCCACTGTTTTGGTCTCCCACTGTTTTGATCTCCCACTGTTTTGATCTCCCACTGTTTTGGTCTCCCACTGTTTTGATCTCCCACTGTTTTGGTCTCCCACTGTTTTGGTCTCCCACTGTTTTTTGATCTCCCACTGTTTTTTGATCTCCCACTGTTTTTTGATCTCCCACTGTTTTTTGATCTCCCACTGTTTTTTGGTCTCCCACTGTTTTGATCTCCCACTGTTTTGGTCTCCCACTGTTTTGGTCTCCCACTGTTTTGGTCTCCCACTGTTTTGATCTCCCACTGTTTTGATCTCCCACTGTTTTGATCTCCCACTGTTTTGATCTCCCACTGTTTTGGTCTCCCACTGTTTTGATCTCCCACTGTTTTGGTCTCCCACTGTTTTGGTCTCCCACTGTTTTGGTCTCCCACTGTTTTGGTCTCCCACTGTTTTGATCTCCCACTGTTTTGATCTCCCACTGTTTTGATCTCCCACTGTTTTGATCTCCCACTGTTTTGGTCTCCCACTGTTTTGATCTCCCACTGTTTTGGTCTCCCACTGTTTTGGTCTCCCACTGTTTTGATCTCCCACTGTTTTGGTCTCCCACTGTTTTGATCTCCCACTGTTTTGATCTCCCACTGTTTTGATCTCCCACTGTTTTGATCTCCCACTGTTTTGATCTCCCACTGTTTTGATCTCCCACTGTTTTGATCTCCCACTGTTTTGATCTCCCACTGTTTTGATCTCCCACTGTTTTGATCTCCCACTGTTTTGGTCTCCCACTGTTTTGGTCTCCCACTGTTTTGGTCTCCCACTGTTTTGGTCTCCCACTGTTTTGATCTCCCACTGTTTTGGTCTCCCGCTGTTTTGGTCTCCCGCTGTTTTGGTCTCCCGCTGTTTTGATCTCCCACTGTTTTGGTCTCCCGCTGTTTTGATCTCCCACTGTTTTGGTCTCCCACTGTTTTGATCTCCCACTGTTTTGGTCCTCCACTGTTTTGATCTCCCACTGTTTTGATCTCCCACTGTTTTGGTCTCCCACTGTTTTGGTCTCGCACTGTTTTGATCTCCCACTGTTTTGGTCCTCCACTGTTTTGATCTCCCACTGTTTTGGTCTCCCACTGTTTTGGTCTCCCACTGTTTTGGTCTCCCACTGTTTTGGTCTCCCACTGTTTTGGTCTCCCGCTGTTTTGGTCTCCCGCTGTTTTGGTCTCCCGCTGTTTTGGTCTCCCGCTGTTTTGGTCTCCCGCTGTTTTGGTCTCCCGCTGTTTTGGTCTCCCGCTGTTTTGGTCTCCCGCTGTTTTGGTCTCCCGCTGTTTTGGTCTCCCGCTGTTTTGGTCTCCCGCTGTTTTGGTCTCCCGCTGTTTTGGTCTCCCGCTGTTTTGGTCTCCCGCTGTTTTGGTCTCCCGCTGTTTTGGTCTCCCACTGTTTTGGTCTCCCACTGTTTTGATCTCCCACTGTTTTGGTCTCCCACTGTTTTGGTCTCCCACTGTTTTGGTCTCCCACTGTTTTGGTCTCCCACTGTTTTGGTCTCCCACTGTTTTGGTCTCCCACTGTTTGTTTTGGTCTCCCACTGTTTGTTTTGGTCTCCCACTGTTTGTTTTGGTCTCCCACTGTTTTGGTCTCCCACTGTTTTGGTCTCCCACTGTTTTGGTCTCCCACTGTTTTGATCTCCCACTGTTTTGATCTCCCACTGTTTTGGTCTCCCACTGTTTTGATCTCCCACTGTTTTGGTCTCCCACTGTTTTGATCTCCCACTGTTTTGGTCTCCCACTGTTTTGGTCTCCCACTGTTTTGATCTCCCACTGTTTGTTTTGGTCTCCCACTGTTTTGGTCTCCCACTGTTTTGGTCTCCCACTGTTTTGGTCTCCCACTGTTTTGGTCTCCCACTGTTTTGGTCTCCCACTGTTTTGGTCTCCCACTGTTTTGGTCTCCCACTGTTTTGGTCTCCCACGTGGCTCGTGGGTCCACCCCGAAACAACCGCGCCCGCCGCGCAAACCGTGGCGGCAGCAGATATGCAGATGCCACCTGACGCACGAATGGGGGAACGTGTTTTTCAAACGCCTCCGGCAGCGTGCAGGACCCGCGGCGATGATGATGATGATGATGATGTTGATGATGATGATGATGTTAATGATGTTGATGATGATGTTAATGATGTTGATGATGCACTGCTCCACGCCGCTCCCGACGCGCGGTTGTCTCCCGGCGTGACCGCCTGAAATTGCGGTCGTTGCTCCGCATCTTCGACGTCCGCAGACGACGACGACGACGACGACTTAGCGGCAACAGTCTGTTACGGCTACACGGTGTGGTTGGTGCGTGGTGGTCACCTCTTGGGTATTTGCGCGTGCAGTACGTGGAGAAGCTGGCGATGGCGCCGTCCGACCCGGTGAAGATGCTGCCGTGCGACGAGAAGATCGAGAGGCTGAAGACGCAGCTCGCCGATCTCAAGCAGCGCGTCGACTTCTCGTCGGCCGACGCGCTCATCCACAGGGGCCAGACGCTCGTCCAGGAGGTGGCGCCATGCGCACGCACGCACGCGCACACATACACAGATACACACATACACAGATACACCTACTGATGGTATCATATGCCTTGACCAGGTCAATAAAACAGAGATGTTGGTCTTGCTGGAATTCCTTCCACCTCTGCTGTAGCAGACGGACAGAAAATATGGCATCTGTGCAGGACCGCCCTTTCCTGAAACCGCATTGGGGCTCCGCAAGCCTTTCCTCAGCGTGCCTGGCAAGCCGATGTTGAATAATCATTGCCAGGACCTTTCCCGGCACACTGAGGAGTGAGATGCCTCTGTAGTTGTTACAGTCTGTGCGGTCCCCCTTCTTAAACAGGGGTACCACCAGGGCATCCTTCCAATCCTGCGGAACCCGTCCAGTGGTCCAGACTGTTGTTATGATGTCATATAGGGCAGTCTGTGCACAAACGCCACCCTTTCTCAGCTTTTCACTTGGGAGATCATCTCTGCCCGCTGCCTTTCCTGGTCTCAGACTCCGGATCGCCTTCAGTACTTCCTCAACAGATGGTACCTCAGCCAGCCACTCGCAGGGGGTGACTTCTTCCAATATTTGAGGCACTGCAGCCTCAGCAGGGTCATCCTCACTTTGTGCCACGATGTTTTCCTGGCTGAGGGATTTCCCCTCCCCCAGGACCTCACAGAAATGCTCAGCAAATCTGCAAACCTTTTCCCAGGAACACGTGTACATACACACAGACACACACGGCCGTGTATATGCAGACGTGTACACACACACACACACGTGCACATGCACAGACGCAAATGCACACGTGTACATGCACGTTCACGCAAACGTGTACATACACATAAACAAACACGTGTTCATGGACACACACAAACTCCTGTACATACATATAAGATGCACATGCACACACCACACACGCGCACATCTGTATAGACGCACCTTCAATTAGCACTGTTGGCAACATACGGTGGGAAATAAGTTCTCCATACTCATGCAAAGACACGCACACCTGCACGTACGTATACGTAGGCGCACACCACACACACACCTGATGCACGTTCATCCTGCTCACGGCCAACACCGGTGACGATAACCTGAACCGGTCCTGAGCTTCCCCTAGGTCGACTCGGCCTCAAATGAGTGTTCAGTACCTGGTGCAGTTGTGTAAACATCGGCAATAGGGAGACAAAGGCGGCCGGGCGTGGTGCTGGCCACCCGCCCCCTCGTGTGCCACAGTGCCAGCCTTCATCGGTGCTCCTCGCTAACAGCACTTGCCCCGACAGCCTGTTAAGACTATATGGGGGGTCTTTGTCTTGCGTATGACGTGCATGCGCCCACCTGTGTGTGTGTGTGCATACATACGTATGTGATGGTGTACTCGTGCTTATGTGTGCGCGCGCGCGTGTGCTTGTACGTGACACTGTGTGTGCGCGACGGTGTGTGTGCGCGCGTGACTGTGTGTGTGTGCGTGACTGTGTGTGTGTGTGCGCGTGACTGTGTGTGTGCGTGACTGTGTGTGTGTGTGTGTGCGCGTGACTGTGTGTGCGCGTGACTGTGTGTGTGCGCGCGCGTGACTGTGTGTGTGTCTGCTGAGACTGGAGAGTGCCACTAAGAGGTGTGGGGCCTTACCATCAGCCCCACCAAAACTAAGCACCTGCCTGGGTATTTTGTACCATCGGACACTCCACCCCCACAACTCCCAATCGGTGATGGGGCAGTTGTGGAGAGAGTGGAGAGTTTCCCATACCTGGGCAGTGTGCTTATGACCGGCTCCAGTTTAACAGCAGAGGTCTCACTCTGAATCAATCGAGCGGCAATGTCTTTTCATCGGTTGCGTAACGCTGTGTGGAAGCTACCTGGTCTGTCGCTCCACACTAAGCTTCAGGTCTGCTCGGCCACGGTCATTCCCTCCCTTCTCTACGCTAGCGAAACGTGGACCCCCCTAATGGAACATCTTCGCCGGTTAGAAACATTTAGGCTGGCCTGCCTACGATCCATCCTGGGTTTAACCAGACTAGATTGTGTGAGGAGCTCACAAATCTTTGAAAGATCTGGGCAAGGTCCCATCGGTGAGCTCCTCCGGCGGGCAAGGCTGCGATGGCTGGGTCATGTAGCCCGCATGCCCAGCCACCGCATGCCGAAACAGCTTTTGTTTGGCCGGATTGAGGGGGCTAAACGGGCGCGGCACGGGCTAGAGAGGAGATGGAGTGATGTGGTACAGGAGGACGTGGAGCTGAGTGGACTTGCCGATGACTGGTACCAGCGGTGTCAAGATCGGCCTCTGTGGAGGAGGCTCGTGAAGGACGCTACTGGGCAGTTGGAGGTAGTCGCCCTCCAACAACAACGGAGGGCGGAGGAGCGACGCTCACAACAACGAGCGGAGCGCCGGGTGGCTAAAGCACAGCAGGTTGGCACAGTAGGGGGTACAGGTGGTGCATCAGCCAGTCATCTACGTCAGTCGACCCGTGGCACCAGGGTCTGCCCCGTGACCTCCTGCCAGCGGGCGTTCGACACTTCACGTGGCCTCAGGGTGCACCTAGCCTGGCACAAGCGTTGTGGTGACGTCACCGCCACTTAGTGGTGAATGGCGGTTGTTGTTGTTGTTGTTGTGTGTGTGTGTGACTGTGTGCGTGACTGTATGCGTGCGTGACTGTGTGCGTGACTGTATGTGTGCGCGCGCGTGTCTTGGAGCAGCTGCTGGACGACGCGGTGTACACCTTTGAGCGTTACCTCCACCAGAGCCTGGCCCCCGAGGCCACCCCGACCCCCGTGCCCACCGCCGCTCAGCGCGCCCTCGAGCGCGTCCTCAAGGTGAGCGCTCGCCCGGTGTGCAGGCGGTGAGACTGCACCGGGCCCCGTGCGCCAGGCTGCGAAGAGAGAGATGTTAGACAGAGGGCCCCCCCCCCCCCACGTGTAGAATTCCTCGCACCAGGGTCCGTGCCAAGTGTAGTTTAACACGTCGGCTTTCGCAACCAATATCATCCGTGTGCTGTGCGATGTGGGATGATCGTTCCCCTGCCCCCACCACCACTGCCCCCCCTCCCCCCCCCCCATCCCAGAAATACGACTACGACAGCAAGCACCACACGGAAGAGGTTCTTCCGCGACGCTCTGCTGCAGATCACCGCTCCCTACCTCTTCGCTTCGCTCGGACCCAGCTGCAAACCAGTGCGTGGTGGTGGTGTTGATGGGGGGGGGGGGGGGCGTGCTGTGGGAGGGGGGGGCCGAGGGGGTTGGGTCCCCCACCCCCCCCCCCCCCCCCCCCCCGGCATAAAAAAACTGTTTTTTTTCCGGGACGTTGCGTTACATTTTGGGGTGCGACCTCCGGCACGCGCGAGTCTCCTTGTCGCCACCACCATTGCTTGGTCATTGTCAGCGTTGTTCAGTTACGTCGGATGGCTGGAGACTCCGATGGTTCCCTTCCACGTGTTTCTACTTATTTTACTCCACTGCAGTTTTACGTCGTCATCATCCCACCCCCCCCCCACCACCACCACCGCTGTGAAAAACTCGGCCAGGACCCTTCCGAAAAAGAGTCCCGAGGCGTGGAGTTGGGGGGTGGTGGGAGGGGTGGGGGTGGGGGGTGGGGGGAGGCCTTCCTGGGCGAACGTGGGGAGAAAACGGAACGCATTTCCAGCCGTGAGAATGAGAATCGGTCCGTCCGTGTGACTAACGTTGCAATCGCCACGGTGGTCGTCTCCCGCTCGTTCACCACCACCCCCTCCTCCTCACCCCCCCCCCCCAACGGGGACCCCCCCTGCAGGAGCTGCCGCGCTTCGAGGAGACGATCTTCGAGGACCACTCGCGCGTGGTGCGCGTGGAGAACGTCTACGAGGAGATCCTCCTGCAGTCGCTCTCCAAGGACATCTTCCAAGGTACCGCCGAGCCCCCTGCCAGCCGCGAGCACCAAACGCGTCCTACAATTGTACAACGGGGGATCCATGATGGCCGTGTCAGGGACATTGAGATCACGGGTTTTTGAAGTCCTTGTGTTTGGGTCGCAATCCCAGGAGTTTCACGCTGGCCAAGCGGTGGGTCTGGGTGTCTCCCCGTCTTTCTGTCGTGGGGTACAATAATGGCCAACGTTCCCCCTGTACCCTCCCTCCATCTCCCTCCATTTCCCTCTCCCTCCATCTCCATCCACCTCGCTCCCTCTCCCTCCTCCTCCCTCTCCCTCCTCCTCCCACCTCGCTCCGTCTCCCCCCCCCCCCCCCCCATCTCTCAAACGCAGTGGTGAAGGCGGCGGCCGTGCAGAGCCGACACAACCTGTACCGCGACAGCATCGTGTTCGTGGGCGACGGCGACCTCAACCTCGCCGCGCTGGCCGACGACCCCAACATCGACTGGAGGGCCATCCTGGCCGGCCAGGCCTCTCCTCCGGGCGCCGGCACCGCGACGGCCGCCACCGACGGCCGTCGCGCCGTCCCCGAGAAGAAGGCGCGCAAGCAGCTGCTGAGCGCCGCCGCCGACGTGGACGCCGCCGCCGCCGCCGCCGCCGACGTGGACGGCGGCGGCGGCGGCGGCGAGAAGCCGGCGGCGGAAGCGGGCGACGCCGCGGACGGGTGCAAGGTCGCGAAGACGCGGGACGTCCTCTTCGTGGAGATGACGCTCGTGGAGAACAAGGCGGCCGCGGCGGCCGCGGCGGCGGCGGCGGTGCCGGCGGCGGAAGGAAACGTCAACGGCAACAACCGGACCGCCGGTGCCGAGATGGTGGTGGCGGCGGCGGCGGCGACGGTGGCGGCGACGGTGGCGGCGACGGTGGCCTGTGATAGCGCTGTGGCCGAGCCAGCGGAGATGGTGACCAAGGAGGTTGAGGTGGCGAAGGAGCAGGAGGTGGCAAAGGAGGAGGGAGGAGCTGAAGGAGGTGGCGAAGGAGGAGGAGGTGGCAAAGGAGGAGGAGCTGAAGGAGGTGGCAGAGGAGGAGGAGGAGGTGGTGGTGAAGGAGGTGGAGGAGGCAGAGGCACGGCCCACGCGGCCGGAGGACGAGCGAGGCGTCGCGGAGGCGAAGCCCGACGGACCAAACTCGGGCAGCGGCGCTCCCGCGTCGCCGGTTAAAGATGCCGGCGAGGTGGGGCGACGGCCGGCGGCGGCGGCGGCGCCGACACAGCCGCCGACGACGGTGGAAAAACCGCGAAGGGCAAGCCTGCCGACGGAAATGATTGGGGGCCGAGCAAAGGTGACGACGCCGATGACGCCGCCGCCGACGATGCCGATGGCGACGACGATCACGCGCAGATGCTCGCGGCCGCCGTCAAGGAGATCGACGACGCCATCCTGGAGGCTGAGCCCGCCGCCGAGGACTCTGGGATCTCGTCTCCCGTCGCGGAAAAGCAAGAGGGGGGCGCGGCGCTCACGCCGGAGGCCGAACCGCAGCTCCCGCTGCCGCAGCTGGCGAGCGCGGGGGAATCGGGCATCTTGGAGGAGGAGCAGCAGCAGGATGAGGATGTCACGGAAGGAAGCAAAGCCGACGGGAGTGTGGAGAAGTCGTCGGTGCCGGCGTGCGGGCCCGACGTGGAGAGGGGGGCGGCCGGGATGTTTGACCAGCACCCGAACGGCTTCGAGGAGAGGGAGCCCGTGTTTGTGTGACCCTCCGCGCGACGGAGACCAACCCCACCGACGACGCATTTTAATAAAATAAAAAAGCGCGCGCACGCACGCACGTACACGCACACGTACACGTAGTTGTACGTGTGCGTGCCCGCTGATCGCAAAAAAAACTCAAAAAAAACATTTTACGCACGGAGTGGGGGAAAGAAACGAGCGACCGTAACAATCTGCGGCGCGACGGGGGAGGATGATGAGGAGGGATGACGAGGGTGACGTTCGCGTCTGGTTTTCTGCCAAGGCCGCCCTCGTGTAAAGCGCGGGGAAGACGGCCAGTTCCGTCCTGTCCGCGGTCACGCGCTCGCCACCCATCCCATTCGCACCCTCGACGTGCGTCACTCGCCTCCCGCGATCGTGCCACCGCCGTCGCTCTCGACGCATCGTTTCGGGGGCGACGTCCGACGTTTCGCCCGCCCCGCCCCGCCCCGCCCCCCCCCACCCCCGCGAAAGACCTTGTAAACACGGTGGTGGGCCGGCAAAGTGGCGGCGACAAGCCACGCTCCACCCGGGGGCCCGCCGCTGCGGCCTCCAGATAAGGCTGGCCCGTGCGCCGCTACAGGAAATCCTGCCCAAAGAAAGAGTTTAACGTGGTGGGGAAAGGAGTGGGGGTGGGGGGGGGGGGGGGCGTTGATGAGTCATCGCCGGGGGGGTGCGGGGCGAGGTTGGCCGGGTAGGGGGGGGGACCTCGGACCTCTTTGTCCGGCGAACGCCCCCCTCCCCACGCCGTCGCTCCGTTGAACCGCGACGCCGACCGAGTGCCGGCCGTCCGTTCCCTTCCCGATGGCGCCCGTTCGCGCTCCGTCGCGCCTCCAGAATCCCCGATTTTTATTTTTTTTGCTCGGCCGAAACCGATCTGTCGGTAGAAGGCTCCGCCAACCCCCTCCCCCCCCCCCCCCCCCCGGTGCTCTTGGGAAGGGGGGCGGTGGTTTGGCCACGTGCCCGGGGGAGGTTTGGCTTGTTTTTATTACTATGGCAGGGTTTGTGTAATCTGCTGAATTTTAGCTTAAGTGTTTTTTTTATAGTTATAAATTAAACTGTGGTCACGGTCACCGTAATTCTAGCATGCGTAGAGGGGTTTCTGCTTGTCCAACCGCCCGCCCCCCCCCCCTCTACAATCTTTAAGTCGAATCAAACTATGGATTTGACGTTTCACACCCCCCACCCTTGTCGTGGGGGGAAGCTCATCCAGCACTGGATTGGCGCACACGGATTGGGGTGGGTGGGGGGGGGCAGTGGTGGCGTACGTATGTTGAACTTCTTTTGCACCGTACGTAGGCAACTGTGCTAAATCGGGAGGTGGCGGGGTTGGGGGGGGGGTAAGGACGACAAACAAAAACGCAAAAAGCAGTTTCTCAAGAGATTCGTTTTCCATCCTGCATTTAAAAATGCATCGCGAGGGGCACTGAAGCGTGAGATCGGCGTTGGCCACTGGCACGAGAGGCCCGAGCTGTCAGGAGGTGAAGTGACCAATCGGAGGTGCAGCCCTCCGATTGGTCACACACTAGCCAACCGGATATCAGCAAACTTAGCCAAACAGATACCATGAACTTGCCCCGACACCAACATAGATAGAAACTTGCTCTAACACGAGCCAACTAACCAACTGGGTACTAGCAACTCTCCCTTACACTAACAAACTAGCCAACCAGACCATACCCCTAACACTAACAAATTAGCCAATCGGATTTGCAAGAGCAACTATCCCTAAAAACTGAACTCTAATCTCACTCGCCAACAAAACCCTAAAACCTTAACCAGTCTGACCAATCTGACACTAACACCACCCCTAACCCTTAACCACACTAACCAATCAGACACTAACACCACCCTTAACCTGGCCTCTTTGACCTGTCGTTCCTGTCTCATGGGTTGGTTGGGGTGCCCTGGTGGCGACATGTTGACCGCCTCGCCAGGAATACAGGAGGTCGTGGGTTCGATCTCGACCCTGACACCTGTTTATTTGGAGTTGGCGTGTTCGCTCTCCCCGTTCAGTCGAATCGACTTGCGTTTAGAATATCTGGCTGCTAGAAATTTCCACAGAAGCCCACTTCGTTGGGCTATCATTTGTGGCCAGGTCGCTCTGAAAAACAGCTACGTCATTTCAGTTGGGTCCTTATCTGGTAAAATGAAAATAGTTTATAGTTGTTGGGTTTCCCCCTCGCCTTTTCACCTCGTGTTGGGGCGGGTCACTTGACCATACTTCACCAAGCTGGCCAATGCGGGTTTGGCGTAGGCAGCTAGCTGCTCGGAGCAACGGTAAATGTGGCCACACTGATCTCTTGCTGCCCCGCGCAATGCCCATAGCTAGCACCTGTGCGTCTGTAGATGCCGGCTCGGCAACTCCGATATCCTGGGCCACCGGACCTTCTGGTTGGTTTTGTTTGACCCAAACTCGCGGTGTATGCGGGTGTGTGTCACACACCACTCGGGAGACGGAAGCCTGCCGAGCGTGATGCTATCGGCCCACCCAACCTTCATGTGCCGTGCCGGCCTACGCAGGTGCTGCTGCTGCTGCTCGCTAACGGCACTTGCCACTCTTTGTCTTTTGCGCCGCGTGCCGTTGGGCAGCCCTTTTACCCTGGTCAAAACGACTCGCCCGGCCAACCCCCCACACCCCCGCGCCGTCCCCATAACGGAGTTGTCGCCGCGCACGACAGACTTGGCAGTCGGGCGACCGATGGACTGTCGGCAGGACCTGGCGTGGCGCCGAGACACGGCGCAGACTTATCCCTCTCGCTCGGCGTTACGTCTTTTAGATCGCCCGTCGACTGACGGCGGCGGCGGCGACGACGATGCCGCCACGGTGTAGCGCGGTTGTCACAACCGGACTTGCTTTTAACTCCCGCGCCCGCTTCAGTTCCATCTCGCGACACGGAAGTTTGCTGCGTTCTTGCCACTACGTGGTGGCCGTGGCCGCAGTAGCGGCGCGAGTGGCTTCACCTGCGGGGGGTCGGGGGGGAGGTTTAGTCTGCGATCGATGGGGGGGGGGGGGGGGGGGTTCCATCCGCTGGGGGTATAGCGCGCCGCTCCGTAACTCCGCCGCCTCCGACCGAGACGACGTACCTGCCCAGGGTGGAAGAAAAGACGATCGGAATAGGTTTTACCCCTTTTTGGCAATAAAAACAGGTGTGGAGATGTTGTTCAAACACCAACCTTTCGCAAGGATAGTGTGTGTTTGCACGTTCGCTGCAGGTACGTGTGGTTGATGCCGACAAGATTCCTTGCAAAATGTTTCTGTTTGGTGTTTGAGCATCTTAAACACCTCCTGTTTTATTGCCAGAAAGGGTAAGAAAAACTATTCTTATTTTTTCATACTTTGATACTGGAAGAAAAAAAAGTCCCATGTTGTGGAAGAGTAGGCCAAAAACACCCTCTCGTGGTGGTGGTCCCTTCTGCCAACGGCAGCGTTGAGAGCAGGCAGATTTCAGGGCAGCACCTCTGCATTTCCGGAGAGATGTTAATACATTTACTAAATGGTATTAACGGCGCTGTAATCTGAGCGTCGTCTACACGGAGTCACGCGCTCGCGCGTTCGTTTTATCCGCGATGGGCACTTTGTTTCGTCGTTGCCAAGTCGTCCGTCGTCCAGCTTTTGCTGTGTCGCATTCACAAACGACGTCTTGCGTCCACACACTATAGAGGATTTTTTTTGGGGTTTGATCGCGTAAATATAAAATGTGTCGCCAAACCCGCCACCACCCGACCAGGCAATAAATTGTCGGGGTTTGTCACTCAATTGGCTGTGGTCGTGTGGTGGCGGGTTTGACGACACGTTTTATATTTACGCGATCAAACCCCCCCCCCAAAAAAAACCCTCTCGTGGATAGCGTTGGTCGCGAAAGCCTAAGGACGAGTTTTTAAACTGACGTGTTGCGTGTATCCCACGTCCGGGGCGTTCCAATTTCTAGATTCCCCCCCCCCCCCCCCGCTAACTTCTCAGTACAATCGGTATTCTGATGCGCGTTACTGCTGCCAGCGAGTGCTGAACTGGTAACACAATTGGCACGTTTCTGTTTACGTGACAAACCTCACTCGTTGGCCGTGTTGGGTGGTGGCGGGTTTAACACGACACATTTTATATTTACGCATTCTAACACCCCCCCCCCCCCCCCACAACAACAAACAAAAAACGCATATGGACAACCGTCCGGGGCAATCCGTTTATAGATACCCCACAGATTCCTTATGGTGGGGCCCCCCTCTGGTGTCATGCAAGCACGTGGCTCGGGCCAATCCATGGATTGGCCCGAAGTAAAACCATTGCCGCGAGCCACTTTCCACCCCCTCGCCAAGTGGATTGTGCCTCCCCCACGGTGTTGCATCGCAGGATGACGGTGTCGAGATGTCGACTACCTCGCCTGGCCACGTAGGGGGTTCGTGGGTTCCATCCCAGTGCATTTGGAGTTTGTGTGTCCCCTCTCTCTCTCTCTCTTTTCCAGTGGTCGTGTGGATTTTTTTTCTCCGGGTCCTCCGCTTTATATTCCTGCCACGTTTGAGGATCGATGTGCCTTTCGAGTAATTTGTCTGCTGCTATGGATGTCCACGTCATGATCAGCCGGCTCTGTGGGGGGCAGGGGGGGGTGTTATATCATTTGTGTCGACCGGGTCTATTCTGAAAAAGAGCTACACAGCTCGACGGTCTTTCACATGGTAACATTTTTAAAAAGAGTTTATAGCTGTATCGTTTATTCCACCACCACCTCCACCACCCCCCCCCCGGACTTAACCCAACTGGGTTGTGCCGTACGGCGTTGCATCACGGAATCGCGCGTGGGTACTCGACTAAGCCACGGCACGGTCGACGGCGATGATGATGATGACGACATCATCGTCATCGTCGAAAGTCGCGCACCCACCGGACCGGGCAGTGTTTGACAAAGTGTGCACAGTATCGTCACGCAGAGAGGTTTTTACACACATACGCACACACGCACACGCGCGTATACAGAATATATAAAATATATTTAGCCGGTGAATTTTGGCGTCGGTGGGAGATGGAGGCTGCGAAAATGAAATCGGCGTTTGCCCGTCGTCTTCATGATTTCTCCCGATTTTGTAAAAAAAAAAATACAAAATGTAGTAAGGGGGGGGGGGGGTATCTAATAATGTATCGCCCCGCGTTCTCAACGCCCGTCTCTGTTGGCATCCACGCCGTCGATCGCCCTCGTCGCTTCCCTCCGTCCTTCATCCGCAGCCGGCAACCGCGGACGATGACGACGACGCCGATGGCATTTCTTGTTTTTTCGGTGGCCGGAACGAGCTGCGATCGTCAGCCGCGCACTCTCTCAAAAAAGAGATGTATGTTATTATTTTATTATTATTATTGTTGTCGTCGTTATTTCATTTCAATCGCTTTTAATGTCGGAAAAAATATATATATCTACGTTAAGCCGAGTTTTTTTTTTTAGCCTGCGGTGGAGATACACTGATGTCACTCGTCAGTAGCAGTAGCATGTTTGGTAACGGGCCTTGGTGCAAGGAATTATATTGGGGAGGGGGGGACCCCCATTCAATCTCCCTGGGCCCCCTTCCACCTTTAGTTCGTGGGGGGGGGGCGGTCATATGGTGAGTTTAATGTGACTCAATGCAAGTTGCAAGTCTATGGGTTCTGTGCAAGTCTAATGGTCCCCCACCAGGTGGGGTGGGAGCAGTCACAGCCGATTGTTGTGGGCGCCACCATCGCGGTGACCTCGGGTGGTGCCAAAGAAACATTTGTTGGTGCAAGGCCCCCACCCTGGCTGGCACCAGCCCTGTGGTCCACTTTGCAAGACTAATTGGGGAGTTCGGTGTCGTCCCGTAGATGGCATGGGGCCCAAGAATTTCAATTCCCCCCCCCGCCGCCCATCCGATGTTCGGAGGCCCCCGACGCGTAGATGCCCCCCCCCCCCTTCCGTGGCCCATGGTGCCACCGGTGCAGGTGCACCGCCTGCACACTCCCTGGCTATGCGCTACCCTGTCGCTCCGAAAACCCCGGGCGGGCGTGCCATGCGGAAAGAAACAAAAACAAGACAAAAAGCCAGGCTGGGTTTCAGACGCGCCACACCAGCCCCCCAGGTTGGGCCTCGATCGCTGGGAGTTTTCCCAAACTGGTGTTGGCAAGTGGCCTTTATCTCACTAAGTTGTGGCTT